CCCGCATCAGGCTCTCTGCTCGGCGGGGAGCCTGCTCCCCCACCCCCACCCCACCCTATCTGTGCCTGCCTCTCTGCCTGCTTGTGCTCTCTCTCTGTCAAATAAATAAATCAAAAAATTCCCATGGGTGAAACGTTTTCTGCAGACAGAAAAATATTAGCTCAGGTTTGCCAATACAAGTGCAGAAAGATAAAAGCAGTGCAAACTGAGATCAAAAATCCTCTAGCAGTTATTCCTGGCTATTCTAGGTTATCTGTACATATAATTGTACCTTCTAACATGCTTTATAGATTTGCATTTGCTGCCTAAAAATTGAGTATCTGTGATACTTTTAAGATGACCTTGCATTCTTTAAATCATGTTTGCTTGACTATCATGACCTTCATTTTCAGAACGGATTTATTTCCTAGGTGATTTGAATTGTGAAACCTGTACCATAACACGGGGTGGACTGGTTGGTCTTGTTCTGGGTGGTCTGTACCCTATTATCTTGGCTATACCTGTGAATGGTGGCTTAGCAGCCAGGTAAGATTGTTCTCATAATCAGTGAAAAACTTCAATATTTAAATGATTACCTAGAAAATGCACAAATTAACATAGATACATTTTCTGCTTTTAAGGCAATGTTTTTTAATTTGAAAGAGTTAGACTTTTTTTTCTTATAGTATTACTTAAGAATTTGAAAACAGTTCTAGAAATTGATCCCATCATACCTCTTGCATGTGTAGTTCAGGTTCTTTACCTTAATTTGTGTATTGAATGCCATCTACAAGCAACAAACAGTACTGTGCCTAACATGACAGCTAATTATATGCTCCGTGTTTAGAGTTTGAGCAATTCCACTATAGGAAAATTCCATCACAAAATGGTTGGCTATAAAGTATAATTCAGTTATTTTCTGATCGAACTCTTACCAAGCAACCTAAGCTGTATAAGCCTTCAGAGGTGAAGTGGAGAAAGGGACAAAAGAAAACAAAAAGTACAGTTTTCAGGACCAATATTTATCAAAGAGAATAACTGGATTAACTTAATCTTTTAACTACTTTTATCTTAAGACTTTTGGGATTAATAGATATTGTACATGGGTTTGCCATTTGATACAACTATCTTTTCTATAGAACTGTCTCAATCTTTTTTTACAGGTATGAGTCAGCCCCACTACCAGAGAAAGGAAACATCTTAACTTACTGGACTAGAGTTTCTAAGCCTATCTTTAGAAAGATGTTATTTCCCATTTTGCTCCAGACTATGTTTGCAGGATACCTTGGATCTAAACAATATAAACTATTTATAAAGGCCCTTCAGTTACCTGAACCTGGCCTAGAAATTCAGTGACTGTTAAAACAAATGTGTACACAAAAATAAAATTATAATGTATGAATAAGTGTTTAGTGTATGAATAAACGTAGACTTTTAATCATATGAGGTACAGTTCTGGGACCTTTAACATATGGCTACACAGGGCAGCAACCAAAGGGGAGTATTAGCAAGGGCTATCGCTTTAAACAAGAGCTTAACTTCTCTAGTTTGCCCAATAGTCTCTTCTACTTTGCTTGCTCCACTCCTTTACATTAAGCATATTTTGGTAACAGGAAAAATAACCATACAGCAGTTTTTACTGAAAACCTCAAAGAATCCAAGCAGGAATGAAAATGGGAGTAGTCATGAGGATCAGGTCACTACAGCAGATGTTCACTTTGTCTTCCTAATTCACTGTTTTCATAGGTATTATTAATCTATTATTAATAGAAATTTAGAACATATAACAACCTTCCTCACAGAGGAATCAATTCCAATAGTCCTGAAAGATGGTAGGCTCAGCTAGAGCTGATATACTGACTGATAAAGCTGATGCAGTGGTACAATGATAGTTACCTACTTCAAGAGTCCTCTTATTTGTCTTTGGAAAGCTATATTCTTGGAAGATTAAGGCAAATTCTATTTTTGAAGCTTCCACTAGTTGGGACAGTTCTTTGGGGATCACATACCTAGGACTCTTCTTTTCAGCTGTGTGATGGTAAGCAAGTTACCTCTCTTCTCTGGTCCTCAGTAACCTCACTCAGGATTGGTATTACATAATATAGGGAAGTTGACTAACATAGCACTTGACTAAATGGTAGCACTTAAATGCTAGCTGTACTCTTCCTATATTCCTGCTTTTGTTTTCTAAAATAGCCTAGTCTAATAGCCTTCATTTCCTAAGACAGATCATTTAAATTTTTGAACTGACTTTTTGTGTTCCCCTTTGTAAAACTTCTCATTTCAGCTCTTTAAACCATTTTCTTATGTGACAACATCTAAATCAGCGTTGCCCAACAGAACTTTATGTGATGATGGAAATAAATGTTCTATACATGACTGACAGTGTTAGCTACTAGCGGTATGTGGCTACTGAGCACCTAAAATGTAGCTAGTCCAACTAAATAAATGAATTTTTTAAATTAAAATTTTTAGCTACATATGGCTAAGAGCTACAATATTGGACAACAATACAGATTTAGATCAACACTTTCTAATGAAATAAGCCAGTCATACCAAATAAAATAAGTACCATCCCAGATCATATTGACAAGCATCTTCATTATTCAAGTACAGTGACATACTTGTTAAATAATCTTATGCTACTTAATTATATGAAAGGAGAATTTAATTTAGCTTGTCACCTAGAAGAGGCAGCCTCATGAGTGAGGCTTTCAGAGTCTGTTCAAAGAGAAAGTCCAGCCAAAGATTTTAAAATTAAATGAAATTAACAAAATGCATTTAAAATTTTTCAGGAAGCAACGCTGATATTCAACAAGTGCTTTGAAATGTATTCCCTAGCAAGTTTATATATGAAATGATCCCAATTATGAGCAAAAAAAAATTTTATTTTGCTGTAAATATTCTCTTGGTTAGAGAATTAGGGGTGATTTTTATGTTTTGATTTCTTGCTGAATTTTCTGCTTTCTATAATGGATATGCTTTACTTAAAGGTCTCTGACCCAAAATTATACAATTCTATGTATAGTCTATCTTTTTTATTTAAAGGAAAGCTCTACTTATCACAGCAGAGAAAAACATGGAAAAGTAGTTTTCTGACTTCAAAAATAAGAAACCCAAATTACTAAATTAGATTCCTTAAGAATGGTGCTATCAACTTGGACAATTCAAAAACCATTAATATAACTAAGTTGGTAATTCAGTACAAATTGTTTTCTTATCCTGATACATTCCTAGCATATTACCATCTATAAAGAGAAGAGTTTGCAATGGTTTCTGAAACTAAAAAGGATTCTAGAATCTGTCCTCTACCATGTATTTTTTAAATCATCTTTCCAATTAGTAAAAATGGGCAATGTAAGCAAAAGACCGTATTATTTTACATCTATTGCTACAAGTCTCCTTTACCAAAATTTTTGCCTGGGGGCAGGTAAATACATGTAAACTTACTGTGATCTGCATTACAATTTAGGGAACAGTCATTTGTAGCTAAGACCTAAAGAACACCGCCTCAGTCAGAAAGACAGCTTTTAACAGTTCAGTCATACTAAACAAACTATTTAAATCCATCTTACAATTTACTTGGTGTAGTTATCTGGCTTTAAGAGGACTCATTATATTCTACTTCAGATATTGATATAATTTGTAAACCCCCAAACTACAGGACATTAGAAGCCAGAGGGGTCTAGGAAATTGACCTCTGTGGGTATACAGCAAAGATGCAAAATTCAGAGGCAGTGTAAAAAAAAAAAGTTGGGCCACCAATAAAAATCAAATCTGCATATTAACATAACTACACAATTTTTCAAAATGCCACTAAAGACTACGTTTTTAAATTAGGTTGAAAACTAAGCAGAATAATTTTCAACAAAATTATTTTGGTTCAACAAAACTATAAAAATTACCAAAGTCCACTGTGAACTGGTTTCCTTTTAAAAGTGGGGAAAATGGCTCTAAGAAATCTCGAAGGTACAAATCCGGGAAATGTAAAAAAGGAATAAAAACACTTATTAGTAACCAAAGCAATGAAAGGGGCAAAGTCAAGTTCACAAGCAACTACTATAACCTATGTGTTTTTTAAAATATTTATTTTTCTCTAATATTGAATCTATATTCCTAATAATAGTCATTTATTTTCTGAATTTAAATTACTTCCCGTTTCATTTTTCTCCATTTCAAAACTGAAAGTAAATGGCCATTGTAGTCTAGGTCAGAGCTGAGAACAGTATGGTATAGTAAGACAGTAACAAGTGACTGCCAGAGAGGACTGAGATAGTCAGATTCAAATATGTGAAAAATACTGTGTTGGCCACACAAAACATTTTCCAAGTTTCTAGTGGAAGACCTCCCCATTTTGTCCCTTGCTTAGATGGTAACTAACTGGTTTCTGAAGGAAAAACTGCACAGTAAAATATAGAAATATAAACATTTGGGAAGGTCTCAAAACTCTGTGTTGACAATGAGTGTGGGGGAAAAAACACTTCAAAGTATTTTACTGCCTATTCACCTTGCAAGAATCAAATTAGTTAGCTTTAAAAATCTGATTAAATTAGTGAGACCTTAAACTAGTACTTCAAAATGCTGAACTAGGTGATCCCATATTTTTAAAGGTAATTACTCATTATCAGTGAATCACTCCATTCTTAATTGTCATCAACTATTGTTAATGCCAAATCTTTGGTTGCAGAATTACAACTAGCTGTAGCGTTTGTATCCTAGAAGCATCCATCAGCTAAGTATAAGCCAGTGGACATACTCTTTGCTGCCTCGCATCACAGACACTGACTAAATTTAGATTACAAGAAACAGAGTGGGTTTAATAGAGTTAGTATAATAATCATACAATAACCAAACTGTATAGTTATTATGATAAATCATTCTGGGCCAATCTCCTACCCCTCCCACCTCTCATCTGCACACTTCCCAATGAGTCAATTAAGATAAAATGACTCAGTCTAGACCAGACGAAAGAATGCATTACCATAATCCAACAAAAATGAAATAAACAATCCAGAGTTGAGTGTTTTTTCACACTTGTAATAAACCGGAAAAATGTTTCAATTAAGTAAAACAACCATATTATGTGGAAAAAAAAACACTCCCATCATCCAAAATACTAAAGCCCTTACATAACACTGGAGACATTTTAATATATAACATCAGAAACTAGGATACCATTCATTAGAAACCTCAAAATAGTCAAAAAAGTGTCAAGTACTCAGAGAAAACTCAAGAAGCCAAAACCTCAGAATGCGAACATCCTATTACCCTGAATTGCAAATAACTACTCACATATTCAGTCATAATTTTTTCAAAGATACACATGACACATCAATGCATCTATTTTAAAAAGACTACTCTTTATAGTTAAGGACTTTACATTAACTTTTATATTCTACTCAGCAAGGTCTGCCTATACTGAAGATTAGCTCTCAAGTTCCAGGAAATAAATACAAACTCATGATATGCTTTGTGATCCCTGATGGCCTGTTTATGTAATTCTACACCACTGAATGTTATTCCATAGAATGTGTTCTTGATTATGTAAAGAATCTAATATTCCTTGATGAAATACTGCAATTTTCTTCTCCAATAGTTACAATTTTTAAATTGTGCAAAGAACTGATCATCACTCCCATGAAAGACCAAAAAAAAAAAAAAAAAAAAAAGTATAATTTTGTTCCAAAATTAACTTAGTCTCATGTATTTCTAGTAAGTCTTTCAAGGATTCCAGAGAATCTTTTCATATCTCCATTTCTGGAAAGTGAAATCTGGAAAGTGAAATCAGTATAGAAGTAATTTGGGAACTTGAAAATGGCATTCATTTTTTTCAGCAGATGCCAAATTTTTGACCGACATGGCTCCCACAATTACTTTGTTACCATCAGTCCAGTCAGTTAACAGGTTGTAGGAAAAGATTCGTTTTTGCAGACACTGCTAAGCTGTTTAAAGAGAAGAGAAAGAGATTAATTTAGTGATTACAAAATGCACAAATATTTAAAATATTTCGAACACTTTTTGCCGGATTATATCAGAGGTGTGACATTTTAACAAACGTGTACCTTTTTAGTTAGAACTGGTCAAGAAAGTGCAGAAACAGTAAGTCAATATGATAGAAATAGGAGGTCAATATGGTGTGTTAGTTCAATTAATGTATGAATTCCTGTCACCATCAGAAAACAAGTATCAAAAAGCTACCCTCTTTATACTAATTCTGTATCATTTTGCCATAGAGGCAATTAGGGAAGATGATGAAAAAAAAAAAGTTCCCCAAATACTAAGATGTTTTCAACCTCTACAGTAAATAGAGCCAAACCTTAAAATTTTAACACAATCCATATATTCCAGAAATCTCCTTTATCCAACTACTAAGCATTCAGAACACAATTTTCTAAAAATAGTAAGACAACAGTTTCATATTAATCATAACTTTTTTTAATTAACAAGTAGTGAATAGGACACTTTAAGATATTGTTTACTACATACTGAAATAAACAGATCTGTTGTAAATTCAGAAACCCAAACATTTACAGTAAAATGTGCTTACACATAAATATGATCAAATTTATTTAAACCCCGTTAGATAGGTCCTAAACACATGCAATACCATGTAAAAACAAGACCATGAAGTTGATGTAAAAAATGACAAAATCACTAAGTCACCAAAATTAGAAAAGGAAAAAAAAAAAAAAAGAATGAAATGGAAACTAAGAAAAGACAGTTAAAACAAGGAGCCTAACAAAGCAGCTTTAAAAATAGGCAATACTAATCTCCATTTTCAAAAGTTCTTAATCAAGTAATTCCAAAAACTGCCATTTATAAAATGACATCCTAAAAATCTACACTTGGAATTTTCAAAGCATCCCAATTCAGAAAGCTTTGACTACTGTTTCTCCCCAGCCCCGAACTTCAAATAATGCAGGAAAAGCACTGACATTAGAAGAAAATATTCCAAGGGAATGGTTTTAGAAAAACACACTTACTGCTTCCAGAACCTTTTAAGACCCACAGTCAGCATTAACAACAATCATTTTTCCTATTTTCATCCATTATTTTCCAATGTCATGTTAGAGATGAATAAATTCTTTGAGCCCATAACTGAAAGATCAACAAACCTGGTTTTATTATGACACCATATTTTTGTCATTGGTACTGCACAAAATTATATACAAAGAAATATATACAAAAATGTTCATTCAAGTATTAATTAAATTTCAATTCAAGGCTTCTGTTTCAAAAAGCTACATTTAACATATTCCATAGAGATAGCACAAATTAGTCATTTCAAATAATTTTTCCAACTACTTTTGGTTTATATATATATATATATATATAATTCAGTAGGCACTAAAAATCCATGCAGCTGCATTGTGAGGGGCTTGCTCCTGCACTTAGGTATAAGCAGGTTCATCACTCCAGGTTGTGAATTTGGCTACTACCCATTCATGCTGAAGTGCAGTAGGTGATTTTACAAAATATGCTGTAATGCACTGGAAACCAGAGACCAAGTTAGGTCTCAAATTGTGTTATCTAGCAACAAAACATTTACAGTTGTGCAAGAACAAGGATTCCATTTTTATAACCAAATAACAACAAAATAAAACATGTGTAAGATAACTTACATCTTTGGACTGCTGGAAAATACTTTTTAATTATGAACATTTTAAAATAAAAGACAGCAGAAGCCCTGATATTACCTCTTTTTCCTCATTTCTTATACTACCTTTTAAAATAAAGCAGGATATGTGGCCAGCAGCTGGTCCCGTCTCTTCTGCCCCAACAGCTGTATCCACTTTAGCACAAAGAAAAACAAGGATGCTAAATATGTATATACTTTATCAAACAGTGATGTTTCACAAAGAATTTCTTAATGCCTCTTACACTGAAGGACACTAAATCTATACAATTGGACAATGAATAATACAGTACTTCAAGGGAAGAATATGTCCCATCTTTGGAAAAAGTGTCAATCGTGTCCTTAGGTAACCAGAACCACTCAATTTCAAAAATTATTTTTAAATAGGACAAAAACCTTTGAAATAAGGAGAGTAAGATTCTTTGTGAAGCCTCACTTTACACGTTTTCATTCACATTTCACAACCTTCAATATCTAATCATACATAAATTTAACCTAAATTTTAATACAACAAAAGTAAAGGTGTTCAACAATTTATTTATAGTCAGTGATAGGGTAATCACTGTGCTGGTCCTCAAAGAAACATTTCATTAACCATTCTTATTCTCCTTCAATTAATTAACAGAGATGCATGTTATTTTCCAACTTCTTTAATGGTGAGATATTAAAATCTTTTACTCTAGATTGTATTTCTAGATCTCCTACTGAAAACTAAAAGGCATACCCAAATATTTTAAGATATTTCTGTCTTCTCCAGCAAAATAACTATCACATTTGTGCAAGCCCAAATACTTATTGTCAACCTCTAAAAAGTTGCTCTAAAATTGGAATTCCAATTTGCACCTTGTACAACTCGGAACTTCCATTCAACTTCACCTGTTTCACTGTCTCCAAACTGTATCTCTATTAGCAGCTTTCAGTGTACAGTTGGAACCGATGTCATCCAAGGCCATGTCCACACTGGGGACAGAAGAGCTAGGTACACGCAAGTCTGAACAAGGGGACACATTAACAGCTATTTCAACCAGAAGAAGCATCTTAAATACATTATTGACCAGCACAAGTCTGTTTCCAGGGTGGACAGGGCCCAAATAAGATTTCCCCTCCCACCTTCAAAAAAAGAAAAAAGAAAAAAAGAAAAAAAAAAAAACCCACACGCACACAAATTGAGATGTTGCCCATTAAAGTAGACTAAGCAGCAGAGCATGAGCGTTACGTGAAGAGATGGATCCTTACCAGGTTGTGAGGCGGGAACGACTGTTCTGTAACCCCTACAACGGAGCCTGGCAGGAAGGAAATCACCTAAAAAAGAAACTGTCAGAGAGATTTAATAGTCACATGTTATCATTAGGAGTTGGTTACAGTGTCACATTCATGCTTTTAGCTAAACACTTAAAGATTCAATATTACTTTTTCCTCCTCTGAAATGTGTCCAGTGAAGATGTCCCACTAAGGTGTTTTACATGGTGTAAGGGAGTTGAAAGGGGTAAACGCGGATAAAGAGCAGATTACTTGACCCTACATTTTAAGAGAAGACGACGCCTTCCGGGCGCACGCCGAGCAGAACTCCACCGACACCTTATCCTTGTCCACATGAAGACACACTCCTCCCGCTGAGTCGTCCTCTTCCAGCAGGTCCTGCTGCTGCTTTCCCACGGGCAGAGCGTAGTCATGGTCACCGGCGGGCGAGTCTCTGAAGAGCGAGGTAGTCAGCCGCAGTCCCACGCCGCTCAGCCGGCTCAGCAAGCGAGCCAGTCCGGTCTCGTTGGCTAAGACGGCCCGTAGGTAGCGACTCTCCTCCTGCAGTGCCTGCACGCGCTTGCCCAGCTCCCGATTCTCGGCCCGCAGCTCCTGGTTCTCGGCTGCCAGACCCCGGACTCGACTTTCCAGCCCCATCACGTACTCCTTCTTCTTCAGCCGATTAAGACGGGCAGCAGCCGCCGCCGCCTTCCGGGGACTCTTTGTCGCCGCCTGGTTGCTGTCGTTGCCGCTGCTGCTGCCGCCTCCTCCTGGGGACTTTCTCCGCCTCTTTTCGCCGCTGCCACTGTCACTGCCGCTGCTGCAGCCTCCGATGCCGTTTAATAGCCTCTGCAGCAGGTCGGAAAAGCGCTGCATCTCGGCAGCAGCGGCCTCGTCGTCGTCGTCCCCTCTCCACAGGCCGCCGCTATCCGAGCCTCCGCCGGACGAGGAGAGAGGCCCAGGCGAGCTGAGCCCGGGCTCCAGGTGCCAGTCCGGCTGCCGGGGGTCCAGCAGATCTGCCAGTTCCAGCCCGGACAGAAAGTCCATGTCCTCCGTCTCCTCTCCCGGGACGCTGGCGATCGTCTCCTCCTCCATCTCCTCGGGCGAGGGCGCGCGCACGGCCACGCCGCCGCGGCCCCCCCTCCCGGCCTCCAACTCGCCCTCGTCGCCGCACGGCTGTTTGCGGCCGGGAGATCCGGCCGCCGCCGTCTCTTCCTCCTCTGCCGCTGCTGCTGCTGCCGCCGCCGCCGCCGCCCGGGTCAGGTCCGGGGACAGCAAGCAGGTCGCGGCTGGAGCCGGGCTCTCGCTGCGGGTTGGGGAGTCGCTGCCCGAGGCCGCCAGCAGTTTGGTCAGGCTATGCCTCATGGGGCCCAGCGGCGGGCCCACGTAGGCCCCGGCCCCTCAGACCGGGCCTCGCGGGCCCCAGGGACCCCAGCGAGGGGGGCCAGGGAGTTGGCCAGAGCGGAACGGAGGGGAAGGTCCGAGTCGCCTCCCACCCCACTTGGCTGGTCGACCCCCCGCGCCGGGGCGGGGGGGAGGGATGGGAGATCGAAGCTGCGAGGCCCAGCGATGACTCGACCGCGCCACCCAGACAACGGCCTGGCCGGAAGTCAGTCGATCTCACCCCAGCCCCTCCCACGGCATTTCGCGCTCCACAGGGCTCTAGTATCGCGAGAGTTCAGTGAGGTTTGGAATGGGAGTTAATTTCAGTTTTCCAGTGATGTCATAGTCCGCAAGCGGCAAAAATAACAAAACCTGAATTTATTGAGAGACAGTCTACTCTCTCCGCCTTCGCTTCTCGAGCTTCCGTATTTAGGCTTCCACTTCAAGTGAAACCACTCTCTCAGAATTGAACTTTTAAATACCAAATTTACGGGGCGCCTGGGTGGCTCAGCGGGTTAAAGCCTCTGCCTTCGGCTCAGGTCATGATCCCAGCATCCTGGGATCGAGCCCCGCATCGGCTCTCTGCTTGGCGGGGAGCCTGCTTCTTCCTCTCTCTGCCTGCCTCTCTGCCTACTCATTACCTCTGTCTATCAAATAAATAAATAAAATCTAAAAAAAAAATTTCAATAAATAAATACCAAATTTACGAATAATCTTAAAGTTATCCTGCATTTCCCTGGAATTTTACGACTGGTGATCAGATACCGCCTGAAATTGCTCCTTTCCCTTTCCGTTTGTAATGCGCGATCCTTTCACTCAACAGAGTACTAGGAAAAAAAAAAAAAAAGAGAGAGAGAGGAGGTAAATAAGTCATTCAACATAATTTTTCCAAATTTTTATACTAATTTTATTAAAATGTCTAAGCCATTTCTATGCATTTTCTAAACAACAACCAAAAAATCGTCTTGTCCTTGTCTGTGATAATATTGCAAACCTATTTTCTATGTGTGTTCTGTAGTGGGCGTGATCGTGAGCACGCGTGGGTGCGCACATGCGTGCCAGTCTTTGTACTGCTACTACCTCACGGTGTGAGTGATGGTTGTATTGCCGGTTGTGTTAACAGAGGTCGTTTTGTTGAGTGAATCGTGTGTGTGACTTTTTTCCTGTTTGCTTTATGGCGGGGGCTGGGGGGCGGGTGTCATGAAACCGACATGTTTTTTTCTGAAAAGGACTATTATCACATTCTAAATAGAATAGTTTCTGGCTTTTCCTGAATGAGCCTGATTTTGTTGCTGTTTTTCATCTATCCGGGTAAAAAGAGTACCCTTAAAACCCCGCGGCCAAGTTAAACAGCTCTGTTGTATTCTTTTCTGTGTTGCGTTGGCCATTTTATGAGCGTGCTTAGTTTTGATAATCACGGGTTTTTAAATTAGTTTTTTACATTTTATATTTTATTTATTCTGATCAGGGTTTCAGGATCATATTTTCTCTGACATTGACTTTACTTGAAATCATAAAAAAATTCTGATTTAAAAAATAGATATTGAAATGGGCTATAGAGGCAAACTCTTCTCCTTAGAACTTTGGGGTTTCAACTAAATTTCTTCCATGTTCTTTAGGAATTTCAGAAGTTTCTTCCCCCTTAAGTCTTGTGACAATGCTGTGGTCTCTTCTCCATACTAAAAGATAACGAACGAAAGATACATCTCTGTCAGGTAGAGTCTATATACCTTGAAATGGTTTTAACATAAGGTATTATTGATTCATTTAAAAAATTATTCCTGAAGCATATTTTCCAAATATAAGAAAATTGCCATTGAGGGACACCTGGGTGGCTCATCTGGTTAAACGTCTGCCTTCAGCTCACCTTCAGCTCAGGTCCTGATCCTAGTGTCCTAGTGTCCTAGTCCTGCCTCAGGCTCCTTGCTCAGTAGAGAGCCTCCTTCCTCTCCCTCACCCCCGCCCCTGCTTGTGCTCATCCACGCACACTCTCTCTCTGACAAATAAATAAAATCTTAAAAAAAAGAAAGAAAGAAAATTGCCATTTGAGACGAATATGTTAGGAAGTGTAAACGCAGAGTGTGAAATCTAAGATAATGATTCCCAAAATCAGGTGTGTGAAACTACTACTCAGGGACTAATGAATATGTAAATTACCCAAAAATGGGTCTGTAGGTCTGTGTAACATTGGACATCAAAATTCTAGCAATCATCTCTAGTGGTTCTAGTGATAGTTGGACCATAATAATAGGGTCTCTAAATTTAAACCCCATAGAAAGTTAAAGTATCAGTTTCTTTCTGTGGACGCTTACTGCATAGGAAATCACTTCACTTAAGTATTCTCAGGTTTTTAATAACCACGGTTTTATATCTTTTATCTGTGCATAATAAAAAGATATATATATAACTTTAAAAATTTCCAAATATTTCACAGAATATGTGAACAACAGTACAGTATCCACACTAATTCTGCAATACTATCCAATACCCAGACACAACAATTCAACAATTAACATTTGCCATATATGCTTGATCTGTTTGTAAATGTTTGTAAAATACAATTTTTTTGCTGAGTCATCCCAAAGTTGCAGACCAGACACATGACCCCAACATACTTAAATATATATATATATTTTTTAATATTTTGTTTATTTGACAGAGAGGTAGAGAGCGAGCACAAGTAAACAGAGTGGCGAGGAGAGGGGGAGAGAGAGAAGCAGGCTCTCTGCTGAGCAGGGAGCCCGATGCGGGGCTCAACCCTGGGATCATGACCTGAGCCAAAGGCAGCCGCTTAACCATCTGAGCCACCCGGGCGCCCCAAGTATATATCTTTAAGAATAAGAACATTCTCGGGGCACCTGGGTGGCTCAGTGGGTTAAAGCTTCTGCCTTCCGCTCAGGTCATGAACACGGGGTCCTGGGATGGAGCCCCGCATCAGGCTCTCTGCTGGGCAGGGAGCCTGCTTCCCTTCCTCTCTCTCTGCCTGCCTCTCTGCCTACTTGTGATCTCTCTCTGTCAAATAAATAAATAAAATCTTTAAAAAAAAAAAAGAATAAGAACATTCTCTTTCATAATCATAACACTAATACAAGGTCTTGAGAAAATTAACGATCATTTACTAACATTATCTATTATCCATGTCATATTCAAATTCCTTCAGCTTTCCTCATGATTATCTTTTACAGAGGATACTTTACTTTTAGCCAGGATCCAATCAAGTGTCATGTACTGCATTTGGTTATGTTTTTATAAAGTTTTTCTTTTCCCCCATTTCTCACTCTAAAAGAGTCCTTTGTATTGTTTAGCTTTTCTTAATTTTGGCTTTTTGAAGAGACAAGAGCAGTTAGTTGTCTTAAAAATGCACCACATTCTGGGGCGCCTGGGTGGCTTAGTTGGTTAAGCGACTGCCTTCTACTCGGGTCATGACCCTGGAGTCCCAGGATCCAGTCCTGCATCTGTCTCCCAGCTTGGTGGGGAGTCTGCTTCTCCCTCTGACCTTTTCCCCTCTAATGCTCTCTCTCACACTCTCTCTCCCTCAAGTAAGTAAATACAATCTTTTAAAAAAAAATGCACCACATTCTGGATATTTCTGTTTCTTCTTGGTGTCATATTGTTCCTCTAATTGCACAAGGTATTTGAGACTTGAAGCAGTTCAGAAGTACAGTAAAATACAATGAAACAAAAAAATTCAAACTTTTAAAAAGCAAGGCCTGTGAAAATCTAGATGAAATAGGGAGATAAGGAGTTCCAAAGAGGGGAAAGTTTGTATTGGAATAAGATAGACATAAAATCTTACAGTTACTCAAGTTGAGCTAATAATAAACTAAGCTTTCATGGCAAATCAAAAGAAGAAACTTTACTTTGTTTGCTCATGAGTAAACTTTATATGAATTCCTTAGCCACTTTTCCAGTTCTACGGTCTTAAGAAACTTCTCTTTGGGATACTGAATAAAGTAGCAAATAGCCTCAACGAATAGATATGTTTATATGGTTGTTTCTTAGATAGAAATCAAATGCCAGGAAAGTTGGACTCTGATAGATCCCAAATATCCAGAATAGTACCTGCCACAGCTTAGACTTCAATAAATATTTGTTGAATGAATAAATGAAGGTCTTCAGTTTCAGTGGAAGGCATAACACAAAGCTCAACTAAAAGACAACAATTCCACAAGGGGCAAAAAAAAAAAAAAAAAAAAAAAAAAGCCTATGGTATCTAGAAGAATAAAGAAAGAACCTTCCAGATAACGTCATAACATGAACTTTTCCAAGTTCAAAAAGAGCTGGAATTTTCATGGACATTGCATTGAACTTACTAGTTTATTTTTCCAAGTTATCTTATGCACTTTTTGCTACTGGGCTGCATTATTTCTTTATATTTTCTAAGTGGTTATTGTTGCTGCACAGGAAATCTTTTTGATCTTTTTTGTTAAATTTTTTACTGATTGTTCCACTGAAAATTCTTGATAGTTTTTATTTTCAATTTATTCATTCAAATTTTCCTGGTAGACAGTTACATCACCTTATTATATATAATAACAGTTTTGCCTCCTCCTTTGCAATACTCTTTTTATTATCTTGACTGATCATGAAATACTTCCACCTTGATATTAAATAATACTGTCAATTGTCTTATTTCTGACTTTAAAAGGAATGTCTCTAGTGTCTCGCTGTTCATTTCAGATGGAGAAACCAACTTGGCTATTGTAAGCAGAAAACTTTGTAATGCTGAGAATGTGTGCACATAAAGTCATTGGGAGGACTGGAGGAGTAGACGCTAGGCTGCATGACCAAGAATGCTTTTCAGTACAAAGTAGCCAAACAGGCCTGATGGGACCTGCTATCTCTGCCCCTATTGGGAAAGTGGTAAAATAGAAAACTGGGATTTGGGTCCAAGTGCATGACTACTGCCCACACTCTCAACCCCATGTATTAATTATCTATTGCAGCCTAACAAACTACCCCAAATCGTAAAACGACAGTAGATATTTGTTTATGGCTGTGGCTTAACCTCATAATAGACATTATCTCTTGGAAGTTTCTCTTGGTCAGAAATTTTCAAATGCTTTTGTTATGCAGTCTGGCTCTGCAATTTTCATGGAATTCAGATTTCAGCTGGAGATGCAGTCATCTGTGGGCTTGACTGGGGTTAGATATCCACCTCTGAGATGGCTGGAGGAAACTTCAGGTCCCCTTCCAATGTGGCCCTCTCCATAGGTTACGTGAATGTCAACACTGCATGGTG